TTAAATAGACGAGTATATTTTGTATTTCAATGAGAAAATCACCATACTGAACAGCAATTTAAAGTTCTTTCCTACTTATACTTTATTATGTTAAAATTTTCATTCATTTCTTCAAAAATGACACAGAAAAATATAAAGTTTATTTTAAAGTAAAAATACAGCAAAATTAATGCATATAGTCAATATACCCTTTCCAACCAATACGTCCAGTCCCTTATTGTCTAAATTGCCCGAATTGGCTATAGTTCCATGATAATTTAGTATCAATATTATTCTTTTGGAAAGTTTCATCATTGTAATACTATTATTAAAAACAAATGAATATTGTTATTGATGCGGAGCCTAGGCATTGTCCCAATAATCTGTTGCTATGACAACCAATAGTTATGTCTATTTACATTGTGTACATGCAGGCCCATAGCCAGTGGTTCGTTGGGTTTGAGTGAATCCCCTGGCCAAAAATGTTCACCATTCTGAGCATTTTTCAAGTGATTTTTGTCATTTTTGGGCCAAAATGGTCAAATGTGAACCCCCTGGAATTTTTTGATTTTTTAGCAAAAGCAGGCTAGAGGCATGACATGTATAATAAAATCATGTACATGACAAAATATGCATAAAATATAGATTTATTTTTATCAGAATAACTACATACCACTTTTTCAAAATCCCGGAAAAGAATAAAGTGTTCTGTAGTTCATAATTAAGTATTTGTAAATATGGATTTATGGATACCCTGTACATAGCTACATGTGTTTAGGAATGGTGTTTACAGGGAACATATTCTCTTGAGCTGTTGAGAGATATTGTCATTAAAACAGATGTTGTTCTTTTTGTTCTGTGTCCATTGTCTATATTATGAATGCCATAAATCCAAAGATAGACAGAGAAAATTAAATAAAGTCAATGTGCTCAGTAAGTTCCACTTCTGCCATGGACTCGTTTGTCAAACTCATTATTGCCTAGCTGGTCATGTCCTGTCTTCTGTAGCATGTGCTTACGTACACTCTAAGAGGGCTGAGTCATACAAGAAGACCCCAAGACCATACCTGAAAGTGAATATCACACAAAAGTAACAAATTGCATGTATCACTATGATATAAAAGAAATATGAATGCAGTTACTTCATTCAAGCATAACATTATCCAAATTTATAGTTATTACATAGTATTGGAATTCCAATCATGGTGTTAAAATTGTAAGGCCTATGTGTAGTTTTCTTTTTGAATAAGGTAAGAAAATTATCATTACTCAATTGGATGCAAACATTTTACTTATAATCTTATTTTGATAATAAAAATGATGAGTTAATCCCATACAGCAAAACCTGTATATCTGAACACCTGGCTGATCCAAACACCTTCAAATGCTAACACAATTTCTGACTCCATTTTTCCTCCCATTGACTTGACTCCCATGTTAAAAACCTTGAAATCTGACAACATCCTAATTTGAACAGTGGACACTCATATTTGAAAATTTAACATGTGTAAATTGAACACTTTCCACAATTTTTACAAAACTGTTCAAATATTTTAAATTTAAGACTGATTTGATATGAAATTCTGAAAAATATGAAATGGCCTCAGATTGTGGATGCCATGAAGCCAAATGGTCAATAGAAATATTAATATTCATTGAGAATGCATTAAAATCCACAATCTTGCGGATAGAGAAACTGAAATCAATACATCTCCCCATCCGAATGCTTTCTAACCATTCTCAATGATGTTCAGATTGGACAGATTTTACTGTATATTACTTGTTCTCTTACCTCTTATATTCTGTACCTCTGGCTAATTTTGTATAATGTCAAATTACTGTTAGTCAGGTGTAACATACATCCACTGAAGCCAACTTTCTGGGCACCCAAGACATCTTTGGAGACAAGGCCTGCAGAACATAAATTAATATGTTGTAAATTTACATATCTACAGGGTGGGCCAATAACAATTAGAAATTTTTTCCATTTCTTCAATTTTCTTTATTATTGCAGCTCAATCAACAAAAATTCAGATAACATGTAAAATGATTACTGGTGAACATGTTTTAAAATATAAAAATGTGTATGTATTTATTTTTGGCTTGTCAATTGATCATGATCTGTATTCTAGTACATGTGTCATGACGAATTTCAAATTTTCTCAGCTTGAGCCATCACTTCTGAAATATCTTTTTAACATACAATATGTGCCCTGCAAATGGTCTCACCACATTTTTCATCAATTAAAACATATGTTTTTATCTCTAGAAGTTAAACATCTCTCCCTTGGATAATATAGCTTACTGACCTCAGCTTTTTTTCAAAACTGGCATAATATGTCTCAGACTGATTGTTCAGGTGGTTAGAGAGGATGTGTTCAGGAAATCCTTGAGGTGAGTAATTAAAGCTTGAGCTTGTATATTCAATAATTATATTTACACAATATTGACAATGAATTGTTTTTCAATTTCCTAAAGTATTGAAGATAATACATGACTAAAAGTTACAATGGATTTTTTGGCCCACCTCGTATATAATCTATTTATTACAAAAACAACTAGACTTAAAGTTATTTAGTACTTGCTGGAAAGATCACTTGATACCATACATCAAACTATCCATGCCATTTTGATACTCATTGCATCTTTCTGTTTAGCCAGAAACATGATATTTTGAGGCATATTGTGATCTTGGCTCAATCGGATGGGAATTGAGTTACACCTGTCAAAAAGTGTCATGATTATCATATAATGATTGCCTTAATGTCTATTCATTTATTGTATTCTCATAGTCATTGCCTACACAGGCAAAGGTGATATAACATCTATCTATATGACTTGAACAATATATTACATGTAATTTATACAATTACCTGTACTCAAAAACTTCCAGGTCATTTGACTGGACAAGTATGTATGGCCTATGTCGACAATGACGTGACAGTCATCTAAAGGATCTAACTGCATTGCATGATCATTTATCATTAATCATAATAACTTCCTCAACCTCCCAATCATTTTGATGCGACTGTTGGTGGTCCATAAAACCGTTGTTTGTTGTTTTGGGTAACTTGTCATCTGAAATACATGGAAAAGTTTGAAAGTATATCAAGAATAAAATGAAACTTGAGACGTCATATGACGTTCTATAATATCTAATACCGATACAGTAAACATATAAATGTACAGTTTCGACTATACTGCAGTACAGCACATGTATAGTACACGTAGCATGTTTATCCATACCCTAGTTCAACGCCGGGGCCATAAGACATGCCAGATAAGAAATCAGGCCCAAGGCTAGGTCTAATATTGTTGGACTATCTGTGCCCAAATATTTATTGATTATGATAACTGCATGTGATTGCCGTGTACTCCCGCACAGGACACTTTTAATACATGTACACGAAACATGTACATGTATCCATGACAAAATTATCTTTTTGCCCACATCAAAATGTACTTTTACTGTGATAGGCAGTCAAATATAGTTAACATTTCGTTTAAGATGTCCCGACTCTGCCCGCATGGGAGGTCTCTGGGACATGAAAAGCTGTTGAGTTTGAACATGGGCTTTGTAAGATCAAGGTCATGACGAATCGATCACCCAAAATAAATTCATATGTAATTTTGAGAAGAATTTCAGTGATTATATGCATACGATCACAGAATAATCCATTGTATTTATATATAACACTACCATCTACTATTAACATACCAAATTATTACATTAAATACTAAATTTCAAGGGAATTTATGAGAATTTTCCAATCAAATCAATATTACGCAAATGACAACGATTCCCGATCGAGAACCAAGAAGCGATTTCTACCTTTAAATATGGTGATTTTAATCGATTACAAAAAGAAAATGATATTGAATTCGATACTTCTTACCTTCATAAACAGTTGTTATGATGTTAAATGCTACGATTCTCCACTGTTTGCCCGATTGAGACTGAAATCGTCCCGTCATCAATGCAGCATCTTGTTTCTAGGTGGGCGATAATTGGTGAGGAGTTTCCGAGACGTTCCAAAATTACGACAATAGAGTGTCTTATTTTTCCGTGCAACTAATTCTCTCACCACAAATAAATATTATAAAGCCATTTTCATTCATTTTGAACATAAGTTTTATTTATTTGAGTAATATACAGTAAAATAACAAAATCACGGCATCGAAACCGAAACCGAAAGTTAGATGCGCGAGAATGATGCGCACTCGTCCATCGGCTTTAGGAAACCACCCTCTTAACAGCCTGTTGTGAGTAAAACCCCTGACTTATGTTACAAAAATGCGGTTTTCTCCATTGTAGGCCCAATGTAGAGTTCTTGCGATAGCCATTATAAAATAAATGTTAGATAACTGCTAACGGTCATAAATAACCAAGGAGGATTGGCTCCCAGAATGCAACACCGATATTCTGCGATACAATCACCTAGCGACAGAAATCATGCATACGTCATCGGCGCATAATTAGATCACGTGATTCAGTTTAATCGAACAGACAATATTGACGCTATCGCTAGGTGATATAAAATATCGCTAGGTGATTGTATTGCAGAATATCGGTGTTGCATTCTGGGAGCCAATCCTCCTTGATAAATAACGAAACAAAACTAACTGATCAATCAAATTGGCCCCCACGTGATAAGTAACGTCATATACAAAATATAGCTTTGGTTTGTTGGTTCCTTAGTAATCACAACGTCACGGCAACCATAGGATTGTAGTGTAAACCAAAACAAAACATTTAGGCATTATGACGTTATGGGCCACGTGGGGACCAGTGAGAGATCACGTGGGGGCCAATAACGTCACAACCAATTCGAATATTGCTTATTAAGCAGCTATAACGATCGTTAGAGTGAAATAGTTTTCGCACTACTGATGAGAAAACATGTCCAAATACATTTATCAAAAAATTATATTGATTCCTGTAGGTTAAAAATACCATTTCATATCTGCTTTAAATTAATTTGTCATGATTTTAATAAATAATTTATATTTCCTTATTTCAGAATATACTGAATTAAGCTCCACAACTGGTTGAAATTATTCATTGGTTACTTACGCAAAGTTGACTATATAAGGGAATCAAGATAAGATGGAGAAACCGTACCTTGAAATTCTAATTCAACCGAAGCAAGAGGATAATAGATTCCGCTATGCCAGCGAGGGTCCAATGGCTGGAAGCATCCTTGGGGAAAACAGTACAGAAGAAAATAAAACTTTTCCTACAGTTATTGTAAGTACAGGGTGGGCCAGAAAATTTTGCAACTTTTTTAAAAGGCTTGAAAAGGATCATAACATTAAGGTATTGACATAAAAATTCATATACAGAAACTTTAGGATAGGCATATTTTACCATTCAAATATTTAAGCTAATACTGACTTCAAACTTTTTCAACAGATCTTTGAATATCAGTGGTAAATTGTTCATGTGTCCAAGATTTACCATTTTTCCTAGAAAATGTGAATTTCTATGATTTTATGTGATTAACAATAACACATTCATTATATTTTCTAAATCTGATACAATCTTTTAATTGTTTAACGAATGGCTAGTACAGTTTTATAATAAGTATCTTCTATGGTATTATTTCATCCGCCTTTTACCTTCACTATCACACAGACACAAGGGCGTAACTGCAATGGCACCATTCAGCGATTCTTGTGGTACTTCTTTCCACTTCTCCTAACCTCTTTTAGTTGATCAATAGTGTGTGGGGATTACCATTAACTGCAATAAACTGCTCCAGGTGCCTCCATGCGTGATAGTCACAGGGGTTGGCATTTGGTGTATTGGGCAGCCATTTATAAGGACTAATAAATCTAGAGGTATCATCCTCCAGGTATTCCAAAGTGACCCTTGCCCGATGGCTGGGAGCGATAGTGAAGGTGAAAGGTGGATGTAAGAACATGTGATTTATAAATAATTAATAGATACAGTATAATATAATACTATTGTGAGTAGATACCGATATAAAACTGTCCTAGTATATTGAATAAACAGTTATCAGAGATTGTAGCAGATTTAGTGAACATAATGGATGTGTTATTGTTGATCACATCAAATCATCCTCCAAGTCACATTTTCTTGGAAAAACAGTAAATCTCGGACACATGAACAATTTACCATCGATATTCAAAGATCTGTCAAAAAAATTAGAAGTCAGTATTATCTTAGATATTTGAATCGTAAAATATGCCTATCCTAAACTTTCTGTTAATCGATTTTTATGTCAATACCTTCATGTTATGATACTTTTCTAGCCTTTTAAAAAAGTTGCACAATTTTTTGGCCCACCCTGTATATCTTAGAAACATATGTGTTAAATGTCTTCCATTGTAAATTTACATGGTACATATAATTTAATATTGATAAACGTCATCCATCATTAAGTGAGTAATCATATACATTGATAAGAAAACATATTAGTTTACATTACAATAAAAAATATTTCTCCTCCATCTTTGTCAATAAATGATGTTTATAGTCTAAAATCCAGTTCAAAATGTTGACATGTTAGTACATGTGAAAACTGGCCAAACAATTAAAATCAATGAGATGAGAGTAAGATGAGAGTAAGAATCTATTTTGAAATTGTAGAAATATTATTAAAACTCTCAACTCTTCTCTATCTACTTCTTTAATGATCGTTAAGCTGAATGTTACGCATGATTTACACAACAGGTGAGGAATTGCGATGAACTAAGTAGCCAGGCTGTGATAGTTGCATCTCTGGTAACCGTTGACAACCCTCCTCTCCCTCATCCTCATCAGCTTGTTGGAACGGAATGTAAGAAAGGAATCTGCACGGTGAAGATCAAACGTGCGACTGGCATGAAGTATTGGTGAGTACAGTAAAATCTGTCTAATTTGCCACACCAGCGTACCTTGCCAAAAGTGTTTGGATTGGCAGGTGGTCACATTTCAGGGTTTTCACAGAAATCTATGGCATATTTTAAAAATGGGACTTGAAAAAGTGTTCAAATTGAGAGATGTTCGGTGCATTTTGATTAAAACAGAATAAATACTTCAGAATGTGTTTAGAAATACAACCATAGATACTTAAACTGACAAATCTATTGCCCATTCCTTAAAGTTGTTTATTTTCCAGTTTAAAGTGTTAAAAGAAGTACATGTACATGTAGTTACATACATATTTAAATTACATACTGGCACATTATTATACATTTCCTTTTTAGTTTTACTCATATTGGAGTCCAGTGTGCTACAAAGAAGGAAATTAAACCCAATCTTGAACAGAGACAGCAACTCAGAGTGGATCCATTTAACAGTATGTAGTAAAAAACGACACAAAACAATCTATATAACATACAGGACAATGGTTAAGTAAGATTAGGGCTCCATTATATCCAAGTTTGGTGGTATTTACATGTATTTGTGAGATCCAAGTATTCATTTTAGTACAAACTTCTGTAAGTCTGTACTTATAGTCATTTTATTTGTGCCATACAAGAACTGTATGTGAATTGTGATTGGTTTTTATATTGTTTTGGTGCTAAAACAGTTTTCAATGCCAATATACATGTCAGTTATACATGTATAGCTACCCTGATATTGGTTTGAAAACAATAATAATCAAACACATTAATCTTTATAGAAACGTTCGAATCCCTGTAGAATATGTAAACACTGAATTATAAATACATGTAGTTACATGTAATATATACTGAATGATTGTCTATTCCAGCTGGGTTCAAACACATTGACAACAAAGGCAAGATAGACCTAAATGCGTGTAGGATATGTTTCCAAGGTTTCCTTCCTGATGAAAATGGGAAATTTAAGCGAATCCTCCAACCAGTCGTGTCCAAGCCATTGTACAATAAACGTAAGGATTCCTTTACAGTTACATTCTTATTACCCATAAATGGTGATGTGATTTTATAGATATTGCCAATTTCTTACAATCTACTAATTGGTATGAATATTATCCTGAATATTTTTCAGACATATTTAAGTTGTTTTAGATTTAACATTGATTCTGCATTATTTGAAAATATGAAATACTCTTTTGTCTATAATAAGCACAATGTTCAATAGTGCAGATTCCTTTTTGATTGACCATTTGATGTTTCATCAATTAAAAGATTTGTTCTAAGTTGACAAAATGAGTGAAAGCAATTTGAATTTGATATTGCAGGAAGCAAGAATGAGCTGATTATAACCAAACAGAGTCATTATTCTGGCAAAGTCTCTGGAGGAACAGAGTGTATCATGCTCACTGAGAAAGTTAAAAAAGGTATGTTGAAGAAGAAAAATAACAGAAAATACAATATTTAGATCATTCAAACTTTGCATAGGATCTTCACCACTTGTAGTGCAAGTATCATGTCTCAACCTGATTTACAATCCCTCCCTATAATGAAACCTGTATATCCAAATATCTCCCTAATCTGAAGTAGTCCAAGTATTTTAATCTGTAATAGATATCCACTTTAAAAACCTTGAAACCTGCCACTCCAAACCCTTTAGGTTGGTTCCAGTGGTCTTCAGATTAGATGGGTTGTACTCCACTATTTGTATTTGATGACAGGTTGTACTGCACTATTTTGTATTTGATGACATGTTGTACTGCACTATTTGTATTATAGATGACAGGTTGTACTGCACTATTTTGTATTTGCTGCTGATGCTACTTCTTAATTATAGAGAGTATACAGATTAGGTTCTTTGAGGAGCAGAATGGTTTAATTTGCTGGACGGCCTATGCTGACTTCAAGCCTGCAAACATTCACCATCAGGTAAGCTGAAACAGCTAGCACTATAGTATTACATGAAACAGCTAGCACTATAGTATTACATGAAACAGCTAGCACTATAGTATTACATGAAACAGCTAGCACTATAGTATTACATGAAACAGCTAGCACTATAGTATTACATGAAACAGCTAGCACTATAGTATTACGTGAAACAGCTAGCACTATAGTATTACGTGAAACAGCTAGCACTATAGTATTACATGAAACAGCTAGCACTATAGTATTACATGATACAGCTAGCACTATAGTATTACATGAAACAGCTAGCACTATAGTATTACATGATACAGCTAGCACTATAGTATTACATGATACAGCTGGCACTATAGTATTACATGAAACAGCTAGCACTATAGTATTACATGAAACAGCTAGCACTATAGTATTACATGAAACAGCTAGCACTATAGTATTACATGATACAGCTGGCACTATAGTATTACATGAAACAGTTTACAATTTATACAGGGTGACCCATCTATTTGACCCATAAATAATGTATTACAACACAAAGTAAGTCTATTTGAGCATAATAAAAAATGTGTGAAGGTCACAATGAATGAAGATGCCACATTGTAAAAGAGAAGGAAGAAAGGAATTGAAAAATTTAAAAACTGTTGATTTAAACTGTCTGTTGTTGTCTTATGTCTGTACAAATTGTGTGTCAGGCTTTATATCGGCAGCATTTTTTAATCATAAACTTGAATTCAGCCTTGGCCCTGTCATTTATATCAGATTTATGAATATTATAATAAAATAAAAATCATAAAATCTAAAGTCTCAATCTAAATGTTCCATGATTTAATAAAATGATGAAAGTTGTATAATGGTTTCATATATAGGTTGCTATCATATATAAGACGCCGCCCTACAAAAACCCACAAATAGACAAGCCAGTGACGGTGAAGGTGCAGCTGAGAATGCCACCAGATGGTGAGAATGGAGAGATGCTGAGTGAGCCACTCGCATTCACATATGTACCCGATGATGGAGGTAAGATACTTTGACTATTTCTTTTGACTTTTCATATGTTACAAAACAAATGCTTTCATTTTTATCATACATATCATTCCATTGTGTACATTTGATATTTTAATAAAATGTTTTAACAAAATATAAGTAATTTTTAAAAGCCCAACATTTTCATGTTAAGAAATTATGTCATGCAATTAGTTTAAACAAAAATTATTAGTTTTAATTAAGTATATATAAAATGTGACACAGCTTATTGACTATCTTCTTAATACTATTAGTCTACTTTTGAATTTCAGATCCGCATCAGATCGGCAAAAAGCGCAAGAAGATGCTACATGAGAGCTTTATGTCTGATGATTTGCCTGCCAATCTTCCAGGTAGGACCTTATATTGGTGATCATAAACAATTCCTTATATGGGAGATCATTGCCCATTCTTTATATGGGTTGTCCTCAACAATTCCTTGTATGGGAGGTAATTGGCCATTCTTTATATGCATCAACAATTCCTCATATGGGAGGTAATTGGCCATTCTTTATATGCAACAACAATTCCTTATATGGGAGGTAATTGGCCATTCTTTATATGCAACAACAATTCCTTATATGGGAGGTAATTGGCCATTCTTTATATGCATCAAGAATTCCTTATATGGGAGGTAATTGGCCATTCTTTATATGCATCAACAATTCCTTATATGGGAGGTAATTGGCCATTCTTTATATGCAACAACAATTCCTTATATGGGAGGTAATTGGCCATTCTTTATATGCAACAACAATTCCTTATATGGGAGGTAATTGGCCATTCTTTATATGCAACAACAATTCCTTATATGGGAGGTAATTGGCCATTCTTTATATGCATCAACAATTCCTTATATGGGAGGTAATTGGCCATTCTTTATATGCATCAACAATTCCTTATATGGGAGGTAATTGGCCATTCTTTTTATGCAACAATAATTCCTTATATGGGAGGTAATTGGCCATTCTTTATATGCAACAACAATTCCTTATATGGGAGGTAATTGGCCATTCTTTATATGCATCAACAATTCCTTATACACAGCCAATGTAATTTGGCGCCGTTTCGGCATTGAAAAAATTTGGCGCTGTTCCGGCACCAAAACCTTTCGATACCAACATTTTCCACCTGACTACATTTTGGAGGTCATTAACAATGTGTATATTCATTCTAGGAATGTTGATCATTTACCTGTAGATGAATCATACCAATAGCCTCCATCTACACAAAGGAAACAGTCCAAGATATTTTACTTCTTTTTGCAGGACAGTCCACTACCCAGTATGCCCCAGGCCAGATACAGAGGCCCGCAAACATCCCTCAGGGAACAGTCTTGGCTGATAGAATAAAAGCTAAGCCAGCTGCCCGGAAAAAGAATGCCAAAAATATGGGAGGTCAGAATTCAATTAAAAATTGTATCGAATGACAGTCTAACATTGGATGCAATTGTGTTTCTTCTGTTAGTGATTGTTACTTAAATGATGAATGAACCGTAAACAATTCAGCTTGAATTCTAGAAAAATATGGGACATGAGAATTTGGAATACATATATTTTTAAATGAAAATATTTAAGAAAATTTTTTTTAATCAGATGCAGTACCTTGTGAAGAGGCTGCAATTTACCATAGACCACCAATGGGAACTGCATACAACGAGCCTCAGTTCCAGACAACCAATCAAATGTACAACGAAGTTAACTATGCTGTAACACAAGCCCCGGTTCAGATGATTCCATCAAAATCAATGCCACAGCAGAGTCCCATGTTAAGTCAGACCATGCAGCAAGGTGGTACGTACATGGATACTTACGGAATAAAGACCGAGATTTTATGATTTATGGCGTAATTTATGACCGAAAATTTTATTCTGTTCATTGTTAAAAGACCGAAATTGCGTTGTGATCGGGATCTTTTGCAATGGCCAGAATAAGATTTGAGACATAATCATGAAATCGAGGTCTTTGTTACGATTCTAATATGATAAACAGACAAGAAAACAACTATTTGCATTTATGCGGTCATATAAAACTCCAATACAGACCAGTAAATCAATTGTTCTTGCTATTGTGACATCCCGTATCATATTAGAATAAGGAATTGATCAATGATTACAACGAAATGTGATAGTTTGATTACACCTTAGATTGAACAGCAAGGAAATAAAATCCTATGTTGTTGCATCAAAGTTTATAATATTTGATTAATCATAACTATATAGCAGTGAGCTGTTTATTAATCATTAATTAATTAAATATTATTTGAATAAATTACAGCTTAATGTTTTTATCAAAGTTGGTATTTCATCTTAGTCTGGAGATGCTAACATTAACTGATTCTGAAAACATGATGCATGTCAAAAATGATAGCAGCATATTCATTACTGTAAACTATGTTAATCTGTCACCACCAAGAAAATATTGTTAACGTCACCGTTTATAAATTTTTTTCAGACAGTGGTGAGCTGATCTCCTCAATGATGACTGAGGCTGGAGATACTGCCAGGAATGGCCCAATCACCTTGGATACATCTCAGTTGAATGTCAGCTTTACTAATCTTCTAGAAGGCACGCAAGATCCAAACACACAGTCAGTACTGACATTTGATAATCAGGATGCCCTAACTGCATTCCTAACAGACAATATTGCAAATTTTCCAAGCATGGATACTGCGAGTCTTAACCAATATGTGGCATCTTTAAGTGGTGATTTGCTACAGAGTGGGCCAGGAGATACTACTAACATGGAAGTCGGGGCTATGGAGAATGTTACAAATGTGGGAACTCCCATAGCCCCACAGCAGGCTGGTGCTATGAAGAATGATGATAACGCACAAGTAGCAGAGAACAGTCCTGATGACTTGACTGCAAGTGAGAATTTGAGGGTAGTTCGTCAGTTTGTAAATGAAAATTTCAGTGCACCTGGGGGCAGTGGCCAGTAGTCGATGCAAAGGATTGGGGCCTGTTTGAGCATGTAAAAGTGTGTTATAAAACTGGACGATATGAGAAGTTGAAGGCCCCTTACTGAGAGCATGAGCCATACACTACAATAACTGTGTTCATTTAACACAAACCTTGCCAAAGCATAACGTTTGTTGTTTCGTGATCGAGGATTGCGTCTCATACCCATTAAACATGGTACATGGTACATACTCAATGTGATTGCAATCTTGACTTCAAAATGCTCTAAGGAATTACTTTCAGAGAGGCTGTATCTGGTTAAAGGTGTCCATTATTTTCAACAGGATGAATAATAGTAATAAGCAAAAAGATGAACTGTAAGTTGAAATAATGAGTCCATTGAGTGGTTTTCTAGTTGTGCAAACTGGGAATAGATGGCACCCACCAAACTCGTGATAATATCATGTCTTTGTATAATTGAAATATAAACATGCTTGCTTTAAAGGCCCCATGTAAAGTTTAAACCACTTTGGCTTATATTGTAGTCTTACCCAATGTTATCAAAGTGTGATATGTGAAACTTTTTTTTTTAATTTCAAAAAGTGGTTTTTGATAGACTTTTTGTTTCAAAATTTGTGAATTTATTTAAAACCAACTTTTAGAGGTCACTCATATCTTCTAATTAGCCACAATTCATACCAATGCTTAGCATTCATCCTCCCATATTTTTTGCTGAAAAAATTAAGAAAATCGGTTGATAAACAAGCGAGAAATGAACTTATCAGTGCATGAAAATGGTTCTGAGAAAAATGCATTTCAAAATTTTAGTTCTCATAGAAACCAATGGTACAATGATATCTAAAACATAATTTATTCTTCCTTTTGACCTGGTTAGACAATCAACATTGTTTTTTTATGAAAGTCTAGCATATTTAGAAAAGATTGACATCGAAAAAAATAAATTCAATTTTTTCAAAAAGTTTTTGTTACCTTAGTGACATCACTAATGGTTCAAAATATTTTTGATAAGCTAAAACATTGAAGTGGCCCATTAAATATGACATTTTATTATTGAAATAGTGTGTCTTTTGTTCAATCTTTGCATTGGTGTTAAAAAGATAATCTTTTTTGAAATGCATTAAGAAATATTTGATGATTAAGAAATTTCAACTTTTTTTGAAAAATGGCGGGAAATTTGAATATCTGAGAAATGAAATGCTCACAACTTTTTTTCAAAAAAGTTTCTTTGTTCAAAAATCTCTAAAATCACTTTTTAAGTCCTGACAAATAGTAAATGAATGATAAAAAAATATTTTCAAACTTTAGACGGGGACTTTAATAAATTAGAAATTATCATAGATGATGCATTGTACAGATATAACTTCTATGTAAATATGAAAACTGTACAGTATATATACCATATACAGTATAGAACATACTACTTCAGATACTGCTAAATAATACATTACATGTTATTGCATATATTCAGAGACTTTAAGTCCCTTCTGTTCATTATGTATTTAATGTTCAAATTCATCTTTCATTTGTATCAATGAAATTGAAAACATCAGTATATGAAGTAGAGTTTTCTGTTTTGCCAATAACTACTGATATTTGTCATTCTTTCTTAATCTAGTTAAGGATTTAAGCACAAGAACTGATTCATTAGACAGATAATAATGCATGAAAACCCCAACATAAGAGAATAGTGAGTAGGTTTTTGTGCTTAAATCCTTTTCACAAAATTTGTGAAACAGAACATTTTTCAACGGGGAAACATTTTGTAAGGTTTCAGTACTGACCTTAAAACTAAGACCTAGACAAAATAAGAATCATGCATGCATGAGCAGTTCATGGCTAGAATGTACAAATGTATTAATCTTTTAGTTTCACCCTCAATCCCCATGCAAGATAAAAATTTAGATTCATAAAACCTAAATTCAATTTTCTTAACATGATTATTGAAATGAAATATTTGTATTCCAGAGGAGGTATCCATGAGTTTAAGTTTTCCCATATTGTTAAATCTATGTGGGATGTACATTGCCAAACTGTGATAATAGAATAAAGTTTGTTTGCTTTTAATGTATTGTAAATAAGAGTAAATGTAGTAAACAAGCAACTTAATTTCATTACTTATGATTATTATATTGGATGTTTAAGACGATGTTGTCTGTTTTTAATTATCTTGATTTTTTTAATTTGGAATATCAATTTTTGAAGTAGTAGTAGTCACAATTAAATGTATCGTACAATAGTGTATAACAAACAATATGTATGGTACTAAAAACATACAATATCCTAGGAAATAAAATGTGTTGAATGTAGGCTAAGTTCATTCTATTTTTTACATCGCTGTTTGCTTATGAACCCCAATACACTGCCTCATATAATAACAAAAATACCTTTTTGCTTTTGATAATGAATTTGTATTGCCTGAAAGAAAGGAAATAAACAAATAAATACAGTATTATATTGTATATTTGTTTTTATTGTATTGTATATTGTACAATGTTATATACTGGTAAAGTTATTTTATATGCATAATATAAGGCTAGCTTTATAAATAAATGACATATAAAATATGTACACAGTTGTTTTTACTTTGGTTAGATGACTACGTTATATAATATAATATAAATATATATGTTGTGGATTATTTAAGGAAACTAGACTAAATATTGTGCATGTACAATTATGAAGTATTGGGATTTGAACAATGATTTTAGATTATGGGATTCTAAATAGGAGATTGCAAAATTTAATTTTAGCTCAAATTCCCAATAATAATAGTGTTCTACAAACAATTTACATTCTGCACTTTTTGCGTACATTTTACTCTTTTGATAATGATTATCTGAAAGTTTGTTTGTTGTTCTCGTGAATACTTTATCTGCCAACTTGAATAAGCAGCAGTATCGTGAAAATGACCAAAAAACTAGTTAAACAGTCCCAAATAAATAAAATATACAGGGTACTGTTTATACAGAATGTTACATCACCGTTGCATATTACAAATTGATTTTTCAAAAGCATTTATGAATTGAGTAATATCCTTTTGTGTACAAATGTTATAAATTAGTAAACATATGTAAAATAATATGTTTGCCTTTAAAAGCAGTAGAATGTGTTTCGAAATACATTACGAATGTGAATAAATATTATAAAATGTATATAAATATGTGAATAACACTAAGTATAAAAAGAAAATAACTGGAATAAATATTATGTGCTATAGATGTGCAGAACATGATATGTTGTCCATTATATAAATAGAGGTACATGTAATCTTATACAAAGAGCAGGTAATCCAAATTCTACCATTTCTTAAAGTATGATATTTCATCTCAAAAAGAGACATTCATCTACAAGGCAATATAAGAGGCCAGTATTACTAGGTCTATTTAGGCTAGTTTGTAATGTAAGTACTCATAAAGATGGTCATCCTCACCTGAGACTGAGATAATTTTAAAATCCTGTTTTGGACAACATGAGAATATTTACTATGATGAATCTTGCAATACAAAGCACTTATCAAACTAAAACATTCAGTACAAAAAGGATCTTTCCAATAAATGCCGCTATATATATATGATATATGGACTTTTACATATCAAACAGAGAATTCAGTATCACAGAAACATTTTTAAGCACATTATGAATATGACTAGCTCCTAGTCCAAGTTTGCTGTTGCTTAAAAGTCATGAAGGAAGTTCATTTAATGTATTACCACATGTAGGCATTGAAATGGGGTGCAATCTTAGATCTACAATCCGCTATTCATCCAATATCTGTGTATATCCCCAAACATGTTAGTGAGTATCCATGTAGATTCTTTATGCGAGATCTTTTTCATGGAACACATTTCCAACAAGATGATTTTCATAGGAGATATTCTCCATGCACTGCTTTTAAATGCAAGGTAATTATGAAAAGAGATACTTTCCACATAAGATATTTTCCATGGCTGATATTTGAATAATAACACACTGTTTTCCACATGGAATTTAAATGAGATGATGAGATAACTGTACTTCATATAAATCACAAATGTTAGCTTGTAAAATACAACTATGGATATTTAAACCAAATTATCGGCATTCAGGATTCACTATCTGTTTCCACACACTTGGTTGGTTCTCATTATCTCATTTCTCACCAATTATCCAGAAAGTCGAACCCTGTTGATTTGGCCATGTCATCAGATGGAGCTGTTTCATTTACTTCGTCTGACTGAAATTACATGAAGTTGACAATAAATTGATATTAACTATAGATAATCAGCTATAAAGTTGATAAACACAAAAATTCTATAAACACGAGACATACAATATCTATGGAAATTAAACTATATTTTATCCCTACATACATTAAAATAAGTAAAACCTACCTGCATAGATAGATTCACATCTAATATTGAGGCTGTTGGTTGATGGGTAATGACATCCTTCTCTATTGTGACATCATCAGAAGCCATATTAATAAAATCACTTGATTCGCCTGTATCTGTATTAAGCGTAATACTAGTCCCTTGAGATTCATCAGGGGCATCAAAATCTTCAACAAAGGGGGAGGTGTCGCCATTTTTGTCATATCTTTTCTCGAAAAATGATTGGATCTTTGGTTTGTGACTTGGGGATCTTTCAATGCTTGGTGTTCTGTCAAATCTGAAAGAAAATCTTAGCTCAATGAAACTAAAAAATAATGTATTTTAAGTATATGTAAGTAATTTTGAGAGTTTCTGTTAATGAACCCTCCCTGGGAAATTTATTAGTTCATTTAATAGATTTCCAAACCACAACAATGGATTTGGAAATCTTCATAGCTTAAAAGTTATGGTAATTGACTACACATGGACTATTCATATGGACAGGACACTAAAAGTCTACCTTGTGTGTTCAGGACTTGGGGATTTGGATGCTTCTTTATTGTATGATCTGATGTTAGCCAACACAGATGGTTCCTGACTGTCAAAACTCTGATTAACCACTCCAGACTTCTGGGATTGCACACTCTTTGTATCTGAAATAGGAATTATGGGAATGTACCCACTGTGTACTTGGAGTAGGAATTATGGGAATACACTCTTTTTGTATCTGGCAAAGCAATTATGTGAATGTCACTTTATAAATAAGAGCAAGATTCATGTGAATACACTGTGAATCTGAAACTGGAGTGGCCAGGAATTATGGGAGCACACATTCTTTGAAAACCAAATCCTGCAATATTTGGTCTATTGTAAATTTCAGAAGTGGTCAAGAAACTTGAAGGAATACATGTACACTGGAAATGGAAATGGCAGTGCATCATATAACTGAACATTTCTCACCATTCTCTGGACTTATACTCTCTCTGCTTGGACTAGTACCACCAAATGAAATGCCAAACTTCTCAAAGATATCATCTTGGTCGTTGGATGGAGAGTCTGTTGTATCTTGGGATATCCCTCTATCGGCAGCAAGAAATGGGGACGTCCAGATGCTTTTCTCAGGTTTATAGGCCAAGGTAGGGGACTGGCCACCATCTGATGATGTAGAATTCCCTTTGGACCTGTAATAATAAAAATTAGATCCAGCTGCTGTAATCACACTTTGAATAAATTAACTTTAATATCTTTCTGGGAGTCACGAGGAGGATCATTTTTAAATGACATGCTCATTTTTCTTTAAATAGAGATATAACATCCACTAAATTATTTGGGATCATTTTCTCAAAACCAAATCACTTTTGATTTGGTGTTATGATGGAAGAGTCAAAATGAAATTAAATACAATTTGTGTCAACCTGGTCCCTAAAGCAAACATTTCTGAATGTATTGAAGTATAAATGACATTAATACACCAAGTAAGATCACTTCATAAAATCTTTAAAGCTACAGTTTCTTACCTTTTAGGCTTTCTTGGAGGTGCTTTTGGATTGGCCATCTCCTCATCCGCAAATAAGTTCAGTTTCTCCATACTCTAAATAAAATAACCAAACTGCATTTATTTTACATTCTGTATGGTATTAACCTGTTAACAAGGGGTTTTATTCACAATTGCAAAGAATAAAACAATCTTGATATTATTATTACTATTATGTTAATGATCCCAGCTGATGCATGATAGTCATTTCCAATAAACTCTGCAACATTTTGATACATCAAAGAAGCTATGATATATTGGATAGATTGATGATGTCATTGGTTGTACATTTTCAGAATTAGCAATAAGTTAAAGCCTATTTTTGCTCAGATTGCCTACAACCTATGACATCATCTTCCTAGCTAATATATCATAACTTCCCCAATGTACCAAAAGGGGGTATGGTTTATTGGAAATGTTTATAGAATAAATATTATCACAAATTAAATTAACTTCACATGAAAATTGAGTATTTTTACCACTTTTATGAAATATCTTACTTTTGTTTTCCAAGAAAATGGTCCAGCGTGTTCATCACTCCAAAGTAATCCCTGAAATAAAACATGCACATTAATGTGTATATTACATAATAGTTAAACCAATGGTGCATATTGGTCCATTTTGGCTAATAGCATACTAGTATTGCCTTTGGTCAATTGTAGACATGTCATACTTAGTTTGTAAAATAAGAAATCGACATGCAAAATTCAGGTCTCTATGTACATTTTCAGGTCCCATGACCTTAAAGACTACCAATAGATGGCGAAGAATTCAGTGGGTTTCATTAAATATACTTTAACATGTAAAAATTGATTCAATAACTCAGTATCGTCATATTGAATAATCTCATCTCAGTAATCTTTGCCAATGTACTCGGCTACCGAAACCAGATATAATCTCACTCAGTAGTGCTCGTAATATGAGAAATAAGAAATAATTTGGAAAGTTGATGGCGGACATGTTAAATTACTGGTCGATTTAAAAATTGAAGTGTAAATTCCTGCAATTTGTGACAGCCGCATCTTTTTAACCAATTGAGAGAACGTTTTTGGTGGTGTTTAGAATCACTAGAAGTGAGCAATATATGCATAGCTAGCGCTGTTAAATTTCTACTTTTGAAAAATAATGGAAATTCCTACATGTATGCATTGCACGCAAGACCAATATGAAGAGGTGGTCTTGGTACGAGATAATTTGGCACTACATAAGGCACAGTATTTTTGATAGAATAAAAACTTTACTGAAATACTCATAACTTCGAAAAGATGAATTATGAATATGTTTTTACTGAATCAATGAAGTTTTACTGAAATACACAATGACGAATCATAAAAAGGAATTTTGATCTTCAAAACTTCAACTCACTTCAACACTGTTTCTATATTCTTTGCTGACTTCATCTGTTTCATGATTTTCATATTTAGCTTTAATTGTAGAGTCAATCATGCAGTTATCTATCAAGGCATCTTGCTGTTCAGATGTGAAATTCTCCCAAGCTTTTCCATAATAATTTATGACTATGAGTTGATTTTGCTGGAGAATGATTTTTGAAGCTAAATTACCATTCTTGGCAAAATATTCCCGTGCCTTCTCTTGCATCGTTGTCATGTTTGGACTACTGCATTCGTTTTATACCCAGATATGTATTCATATCACCATAAATTAGCAATAAATTAACATTCAGAATATTTTTTCATTGTTTTGATTTTTTTGTCAGGGGTTTATCAATTCTACTTCCGGGTTTGTAATTTCAATTTGAGAACCAGTTTTGATATTTCTTTGGTGAAGAAAGCATTTGTTTAAACATTACATGCTATAGTATATTTATTCATTTCAACCTTATATTCATTAAGTACACACAGATGATAGTTCCCTAAAACAAGTGATATTTGAAACTTTGGTTTTGGCGAAGCTAAAATTCATGTTAGCAACCCCCTGGAAAAAGCATGGCAAGCAAATTGGTAAGAAAATATATTGGCTATTTTCTCATATATTTCAGCTATTGAAGAGGTAAAAACATTATACGTGTAGGACTTACACAGGTTTAAGATATATAATGTTGTGAGATGAATTAACGGTGAGATCATACATTGTAAGTCGGGACAGATATTGTAACTCATTCTGCATTTTCTGAGTTATTTACTTAGGAACCGAAGCGCCATCTAAAGCAGAAACAATATATCTTGAATGTAAGCTAGCCATACAAATTAATGGGACATAATCAGGCATCAATGGAGCTATAAACTAAAATATGTCCGCCAGACGTTGTCTGTCGTTGTCCAATTTTGTCCGTTGGTGCCCCATGAAAGAATGAATACGTTGATTCTTTTCAAGGGACATTACCAGACATCAAGGCCATTGATCATGTGACGTTCATATGACAATTTTCTGACAAAATGCTGCTGTACTCAAGACATCATCAGACAAAATAGGACATCATTGGACAAAATAGGACAACGTTGAACATTATTCCGCTGACAACCACAGACAAGTTCAGACAAAACGGATAAAGGGACTTCGTCCCATTTGTGTACGCCTACATAGCTATATGGCATGGGCATAGCCAGGGAGGGTTTGTGGGGCTTTGTGTGAACCCCCTTCTTTGCCTCACCACAGCTGAGCTGTAGTTGCAACTTGCTATCCAGAGTTGTTACTACAATACTGTAGGCATAGGAAAGATAGTGTTGGCTGTGCAGTATGCATCTGATACATTCTTTAAAATAATAGAGGAGCCTCCATGTTAATTTTATCACTACCTATGCCACAGGCACAGCAATAGATAGAATTGACCAAAATGAACCCCCCTTCCTCTTTGTACCAAGGAAGTCATCTCACATATGACCTTAGACACCTTTTATTGTTAAGTGAGATTGGGGAAGGGGGGGGGGGGTGTCAGGTCTGTTGTTACTTTAGTTCTCTGAATGGCATAGCACTTGGTTTCTATTGAATCAATTCCCGTTTCTACAGAAGAGCTCTTCAAATTAGAAGACATTATCCTAGGTTGCACCACAAAAAGGACAACTTTTGATTGGTGTGAGATTATGCCATATATTCTGTTCATTGCAGATATTGTCATACCATGGAGACAGTGATTCAGATGTTGCTATAGCAACTAAAGCTCTGTTGTCATGGCAATGTTGCGCTAGATGTGTGTTGCGCTTCATAGGGGAGACAGAGCAAGACACATACAGGAAATCTACTCAGGTATGTACTAATGACCTACATCCTCACCCCAAAGAAATGCAGGAGGTATTTTAACTACCCCAACACATCACCCCTCCTTTATTAGCATCATAGATATATCGGCAACTCGATCAAAAAAACGAATGCCATAATTTCCTCAATGTACTTTGCATCCATACCTCAAAAACAAAATTTGTATAATTATACACTGTCTGAGGTCAAAACCTATGTCAATAAAAAGCATCAGTTTTTCTTCCAGGAGATTGAATCAGTCATCAAAAATATCTGTTCTCATGACAACGCCAATAAAACATTGAAGCAGCAAAATGATACCACCAAAACAGACACTGAATCTAACATGGAAACTGAAACTAATTCTAATGATATTCAATGTGCCAATGGAGATGACACTGTTAGAGCTTTTGATGAGACTGTTGATGGTAATGAGAAGATGGAAGATGAGGATAATGAGGCCTGTATATCTAAAGACCCATGTGTGTCCTGTCTAGGTATTCTTCAGGGGCAGTATGAAGAGGATTACCTACAAAAGGTGAGTTCTTTAAATATGTCAGGTCAGTTATTTGAAAAAGCCAATGGCCTCAGATTTATGTCTTCATGTCTCTTATTTATTTTATCATGGTGATACTGCCATATTTCGCAATAAAGTGTTTAAATTCTATGTTGTAGAACTATGTTTTAGATCCATGTTGTAGCCCTTCTGTATTGTAGATCTATGTTGTTATACTTCTATGTTATAGATCTATATTCTTATTATTCCATGTTGTAGATCTATGAAGTGGTGAAGGAGTCTGGATTTGAATACTCCGACTACATGGCCTCAATGACACTACCTCCAGCTACTCTCCTCAGACAGGTAGGTCTTCATGTAGTTGGTGTACTTACATGTAGGTCTTCATGAAGTTGGTGTACTTACGTGTAGGTCTTCATGAAGTTGGTGTACTTACGTGTAGGTCTTCATTTAGTTGGTGTACTTACATGAAAGTCTTCATGAAGATGGTGTACTTACAGGTATTTCTTCATGTAATTGGTGTACTTACATGTAGCTCTTCAAGTAGTTGGTGTACTTACATGTAGGTCTTCATTTAGTTGGTGTATTTGCATTTAGGTCTTCATTTAGTTGGTGTATTTGCATTTAGGTCTTCATTTAGTTGGTGTACTTACATGTAGGTGTTCATTAAGTTGGTGTACTTACATGTAGGTCTTCATGTTGTTAGTGTACTTGCATTTAGGTCTTCATTTAGTTGGTGTATTTGCATATAGATCTTCATTTAGTTGGTGTACTAACATGTAGCTCTTCAAGTAGTTGGTGTACTTACATGTAGGTCTTCATTATGAAATAAATAAAAATTGAAAATTAAAAAAAAATTTAGTTGGTGTATTTGCATTTAGGTCTTCATTTAGTTGGTGTACTTACATGTAGGTGTTCATTAAGTTGGTGTACTTACATGTAGGTGTTCATTAAGTTGGTGTACTTACATGTAGGTGTTCATTAAGTTGGTGTACTTACATGTAGGTGTTCATTAAGTTGATATACTTACATGTAGGTCTTCATGTTGGTGGTGTGCTTACCCTGAATCGCCCTTAGAAAAAAAAACGTTAAAAACCATTGCGTAACCATTCAAAATCAATGTGTAACCATTACTGCAACAATTTGAAATGGTTTCCAACGATTGCATATCAACCATCAAAATTGGTTGAAAACTTTGGTTACATATCATCGAAATTATGCAAGCATTTGCAACCATTACAAATCAGAAGCCACTTCAACCCTCTGACTATGATAGATCATTTGACAGATTGATGCTTTATCTTAATGATGTCAAATGTAGTTGTTGTTGCATTTTACTCAAGTTTGATTGTCAATTCCTTGTTGCTAATGCAATTCAGGATTTTGTGACTAAACATTCTGATCAGATATATGCTAAATCAAAGAGTTATATTTAAGTCAGAGTGTAGACATAGTGGATCTCTCATCTCTCGCAAAGGGTACATGTCATCCCTTTTTGGAAACCAACCCCTTTAAACCATCCACATTTTTATATAAACACATTTGGTCTGAAATTGTTTTTATATTACCAGGGACTGTAATATTAAGAAATTGCTGATTACTGGGCATTTTGTTGTGATTTAATTTTTTTTTGCAGCATTCACTGTTAGTGCTCCTAAGAGAAAAACTACCGTAAGTTGGAATCATCACATGACTAGTTTATTCTAATAAAAAAGTTGTGAATAGTGAATTTAATCGTGTTTGAAAATAAATTGTTTAAATAATAATGTACTTAATGTATATTTTGAAAATAATGAAATAAATGAAAATAAAGGAAATTATAATATTTATGGACAATAAATTTATATTTTTGTACAGGAAGATGTATGAAGGCTGTGTAGAGGATGACGTGCCTCCCATAAAGGAGGTCTGGAAGTGGGGAAATGGACCCTCGTTGGCACATCTCTTACAAGTTCCTTTTAAAAAAGATGTGAGTGATATGTCAGTGCTCATAAGCATGGTACACATTTTGAAAAATGACCACCATTTACATGTACATGGGTGCGATTTTGTTGACATTTTATATGTGCCTATTTCAAAGCATATTAAACTTTCTTATGTCAATTTGGATATTGAGTGACCATTTTGAGAATGTTGGCCATAGTACAAGGATGGCAGCCATGGCTGTTCGATAGCATTTGCTTCACTTTGGTGTTGCTCTTATCTAGTTTAGAATTATTTCTATCACCCTTTGGCCTATGATTAAATTCACCATCAATGATTCAATTTATTGAGTCCTGGACTAAAGCAAGATGTTAAATGTATATTGATTATTTCAGAGCCCATTCCTGATCAACATGGAGTTTGAGAATGAAAAAACAAACAACGAGTGCAATTTTCTGTAAGTTCATAAACATGTTTGTTAGAATTAAGTAGAGAATAAATCTGTAGTTTTCATTGTCAAATCATTGCTTTATAATACTGTTCCTGTAATTGAAATTACAGTATTGTCTAAAAGTATGCTTTTAATCATTACAGTGGTGTCTGTATAATTATCCTGGGCAGGCAACCAGGCATTACTTGCTAAATTGTCTAATGATATACAGTTTTTGATGAAGAAATTTAAATAATTTGATATACACATTTATTCCAGGCTTGATCTCTATCCTGATGTCTTTAGGAAGAGGAAGCACAGCAATACAGTTGCCAAGGTACAGTATGCCAATAGTATGCCAACAGTATGCCGAAACTGTCTAAAAAATTATCAGTCAAAGTCTACATTTTTTCACTGCACTCCCATTTAAAAAATTATTGATAATTTGCATTTTTTGAATATGTGGCCAGGTTGGTGGTGGCAGCTCACTTTCCATGACTATATTACTATATGCAATGTATGCATTTCCAGAAAAACAGCTTGATTTGAAATTTTCATGGATGATATCTAGAACTGATTAGATTCTGTCCATGATAAGAAAATATCAAGGCTGTCATTTTTCATTATTTAGATATGAAAATAATTAGCTACGATACAGTTAGGATATTGTTCAGTATGTGACTTGTTTGTATTACAGTATGGTAAGGATTTGTTTACAAGAGCCAATGTTGCCTCAGCTATCAATGATACAACAGACAAGCTGTTTAAGAAGTAAGTTAATATTGTATCTCCTACATATCAAATCTTACTCATACACTTCTATGCATCTTACGCATCTTCAAAGAAGTCACCACTGAAAATGTTTTTTCTCTGAAGAGATATTTGCTATAAGAAGTTAGAGATGTGTAAAGAGGGTTAACTAGAGAGATGTTCACAATTTGTTTTCACTATAGAAATATGTGTTCATGTGATTTGTATTCAGATATTTGATGAGCCATTTTTTTCACTTGCAGGCAGTACCAGTGCCCACCTAGGAAACTTAGTAAAGTTTGCAGTTGTAAACTGAGCTGTTCCCATGATGCACTCTTCTTGGCAGGTAAAGGAAAAAGTTCAAAATATCTTGTATCATTTTTTCACCCACAACATTTATCCTTTGTCCCTATCCAGGGTGAAAAAATTTTGTACATATTTAAATGCAGCTAATTAATAAAGAATCAGCATCTCCTGTAATCTATCATTTAAAATATTTGAAAAATTCAGTTTATTTCAGACATGGATACTTTAATAGAACCCCATTTGAATTCAAGATTCCTAAATTAATTGTTACCATGGAAGACATTAGTATGGTATGAGAACATCAACTTATGAATTCTTAACTTTATGAAAGTTTTTGATGGTGTACCCCTATTTTGCAGGGAGGTATAATAAGTACAGTCGTTCTTTGCCTCAGTCTCCATGGATGATTAATGGAGTGAGGAAAGGAGACTCATCTGTACAGGAACTTATTGCAAACCCCCTCATGAAGCTTGTCAAGGCAGATGGTAAGATTATATCACAGTAATATCCAAAGCATTAAAGCAAATGGGCGTAGCAACCACCTGAGATTTTGAAATTAGGCTTGCACCCACCTGAAAATCCATTTGCACCCACTTGACAATGAGAAAAATTAAAAAATTGGCATATTTTGACCAATTCTGAATTGTGAAAATGAGAATTTTGCACCCACCTAAGAAAAAATCCTGGGGAGATCAGTGTATCATATTTTATTGACAGGATATACATCAACATATACAATGTAAATGAAGTAGTTTTATAAGTCTTTAGAAAGTTCATGGTAGTGTAGGTACTATAAATTGCAACTGTTACACTCTCCAGTGTATCGGTGACATTTAAAAAATGTGATTTTAGAATGGCAAAAAAGTCTATGGGAATTTTTACTTTTCAGATATAGTGTTGATTTACAAATATGGTCAAAAAATGGAAACCCTTACACCATTTTCCTCATATCTTTTTCATTTTAAGTAACAATCACAATGTTACAGCACTTTAAAGAACATGCCCCAGTGGCCACTATTGCCCTGTCGGGAAACCTGTACTCGTCGTCTAAAATGTCCCTACCTGTGGAGATTTGGCAAGGATAGAGTATATGAGAATGACCTCAGGACAATTGCAAACCTCAAAAGTGAGATCATCCGTGCTGTAAAATTGTGACTATTATACTGATGGTCATGAAAAATGGTAGGGTGGTAGGAAATTGAATGATGTACAAATGTGTGAAATATCAGGGAGTAATTTTTCAAAATGACAAAGATATTAGGAAAATGCAGGGTTTCCATTTTTTGACCATCTCGTACTTGCCATTTCTAAGTTTCTAAGTAAATGGCTTTAACTTTTCAAATGACTATTTTTCAGATTACACATTGTCCGCCTCGGGGAGAGAGGATGTTGATGTACGTATGTTAGGAACAGGTAAGTCCACAGAGGCAATTCTGAGGGAGGAATTGAATATGTTTGAATAAATACAATATAAAAGTGTTCTGTATTTATTGGCAACCTTTTTGATTTTTTGTCAAAAATTGGTTCACTGTACTACAGAAATATTATGCATGTATGAAGTAGCTGCTTGGTACAATTTTGATTAAAACTGTTTCCAGGTAGGCCGTTTCTGCTGGAATTTGTGAACCCCAAAATTGTGAACCTCACAGATGAAAAATTAGCAGAAATGACCAAGGTACGCTCTGTTGTCTTTTCCTAGATGACCCCATCATCTAGCACCTAACCTCTGATTGTCAGTAACATGTATGTGATCGTCAGTAACATGTATGTGATCGTCAGTAATATGTATGGGATTGACAGTAGCCTGTATGTTAAATCATGAAAAATCAGATTATTTTTTTATTTTAGCTTATTAATGAGTCTACTACAGATATAGCAATACGAGACCTACAGGTAATCACCAGAGAAGAGACGAGCTGCTTGAAGTCTGGGGAAGAGGAAAAAACAAAAAGTTACTCTGCCCTATGTTGGATCAAAGATGCCACCAGTCAGGAGAAGTTAGATAAATTGAATAAGCTGAAGGTAAGGTTAACCAATGGCGAAAGCCTTTTGTCCAATCCGTTTCGTTAAACTGTATCAATAAAATGTATGTAATGTAATATATAGACGAATGAAATATTTTTAATAATAACCAATGGACTTTCAAGAAAGTTTATTATTGTTCCCATTGTTTTTATTGACACTTTGCTTAAACTTATTTATTACACTCCCCTCCATAAGTTTGGCAAAAGGAGACCACTTTTTGGAATACTTTAATATGATTGTATTGTAATGTATCTTCGTTACCACCATATTTGGCGAGAATACCTCATTTGCATATTCCATATTTAACGTATTTTACACTTGAAGACAAAGCCAGAAAATTCTCATTGGAGGAGCCCTGTGTTCTTTTGTGTGCACAGGTACACAGACATACAGGTACACACCACAGCCTTTTATACGTGTCGTGAACCACTCGGTCAAATACCCAGAATTACATAACGCACACACAAACTTGTCTGAACGAGAAATCAAACCCGGGGCCAAGCGATAGTGGTAACCTTGACTCTGCCACTGAGCCATAGCGGGTGGATGATATGCTAACCAATGAAAATGATTGGCAACCTATTGATTTGTTGTGATTGTAGGACACAGTGTTAAAACAAAAGACCCCTGTTCGTGTTCTACATAGGAGATCCCTGGCCACTAGAGATAGAACTGTTCATTCTATGTCTGCAGATTATATGGATGAACATCATTTTACCTTACATTTAGAAACAGAGGCAGGGACGTATCCTTTCTACTAATGAATTGTAATTAATTACGAAAGGTTCATCTTTACGAACTAAACTTTATACCTAGTTGTTCTAGGTAATCCCAATAATACTATTTATCCACGTCATCAATCTTAAAAAAATAATAAATTACATTTTTCATGTCACCCAGAACCTGTTAGCATTTGGCATCTGTACCAAATTGTTACATTTTGTAACCCATTTGCATTAAATAATAAGGTGGTGACATATTGTCATATACACGTCTTAACATTTCCTTAACCTAGTCTAGATACATTAAAGAGTTTGTTCACAGTGACTTTGGCAGGACTACCCCTAGCCTTGGGACAATTTTGGGGAGTGAATGTGACATCTTGACACTGGATGTGCAGGTAATATATATTACAATAGGGAGGGACGTCAAAAATGGTAACAGACATAATTCAAATTTTATTCATCTACTCTGTTTTTCTGGAAAACAATTTGAATTTGATAGCATCAAAATATACCAGGAGATCGGTACAATTTTCCATGATAAAAGGAGATAATATTTGTAAAATGGAGACTATTTAAAACCCACTATGAACTGTTATTTTTCAGGCTGTCAATCTTGATTGGCCAAAGGAGATTCCAACAGTGAAACAAGGTGACGAGATTCCCAATTTACAGCATAAGGACTCTGATGTGCCAGCTATAGCAGAGGAGAATGATTCTCAATCTATTATAGAAACTACCAATGAGGACACTTGATAGTTCAGAATATCAATTCTTTTTCCTGTCCTGTCTACTTCAACAAAATTGTGTAGAAAATGGCAACATGTATGTTCAAGGTCAAGATTCACATGGCCTGTTGAAAGACAACTACAAACTCCATGATCTGTTTAGTCCATATATAGACATTTCCAATTAACCCTGCCACCTTTTGGTACATCAAAGAAGCTATGATACCTTGGCTAGATTGATGATGTCATAGGTTGTATGTAACAATTAGTCCATGCAAAAATAGGATAAACCTATTGCCTTACAAAAGTACAACCAATGACATCATCAATCTCGCCAATTTATCATCATGATCATAACTTCTTTAATTCATCAAAAACGGCAGGATTCACTGGAATGGTCTATTGGTCAAAATTTGATTAGATTCTTAGATTTTGTACTGTCAATCTAGATGGTTATGCAAAAGTACTGTATTCCATACAATATAGATTCAATGAAACAAGAAGGCATTTGTATCACACATGAACTTTCTAATATTTATTCATTGTATAAAATTATTTCTTACAAAAGTGATCCATATAAAAACATTCTTTCTTCAATATTAAAATCAAAGTTTAATTACTTGTGACATCTTCATTAGAACATAATACTGTACAGTATTGTGATACAATTAAAATCATAATAAAATCATGTTTCATAAAATTAAAACATCTGTTGTTTCTAGTCTATAATAGAGTTGCTCTTTAATATAAAGAACATTGTCTTTGAATACATTCTCATTTGGTAAAAGAAATTGTATTTTCTCATTTGAATAAGGTTATACAATTTTAATTTTGGGGATTTGTGGATTGGTGTGATTCAATTAAAAAGTATTTCATGACAAACAAATTCAACTCAAAATTTCATGACAGAAGAGATCAACTCAAATTCTCAACTCATAAACAAGTAAAACATAATATTCTTGAACATGAATTTAGTTACATTCAAAATATTTCTTCAGTGCCTAATGTGTTGACTGTGCTTGCTGTGTTCTTCCCAGTCTTTCACCTCTTTGATATTTCAAAAATAACTTTCACCCAGTTGATAATCCATTTGCACCCATTTGAGAATTCAGAAAATATACTATATATATCAGAATGTCAAAAATGAAAATTTTCCGCAAAGTTAAGACAAATCCTAGGAGAACACTAACATGCACTGAACATTGTACTAATTAAAATATAATTTTCCTATCAGTTAGTTGAGAAAGAAATAAACTATAGAAACATAATTAAAAATAACACAGATATAGTAGGTACATAGTAGGCATAAGGAAATATACCTAAAAACTATAAAATAATAAGAATAATAATTATTGAATATTCACACCTTCTATGCTAAAACTAAATGTACAATCTATGCTCTAAAATATATTACAGCAGTGTATGTGAGACTTAAAAGCTATATGTATATCAGAATTAAAACATCCTAATTCTAATTATATAAAATCTTCAGAACATTAGCTCAAGAAATAACAGATACTAAGAAGCATGATTCTTGTCATGAAATTATCAAGAGATGATAAATGTTTTCAACAATTTCAGAAAAAGAAATATTTTGCAATGTGCACTGTACATAAAATTGCTATCAGTATTGTACACAAAATTGCTATCACTATTGTACACAAAATTGCTATCACTATTGTACACAAAATTGATATCACTAATGTACACAAAATTGCTATCACTATTGTACACAAAATTGCTATCACTATTGTACACAAAATTGATATCACTATTGTACATAAAATTGCTATCACTGATTTACATAAAATTGCTATCACTATTGTACACAAAATTGATATCACTAATGTACACAAAATTGATATCACTATTGTACACAAAATTGCTATCACTATTGTACACAAAATTGATATCACTATTGTACATAAAATTGCTATCACTAATGTACATAAAATTGATATCACTATTGTACACAAAATTGATATCACTATTGTACACAAAATTGATATCACTATTGTACACACCTTTCAGGGCAATAAAATACATATTTTCATATATATGAGTATGTATGCAAAACTAAACATTTTTTAAATTGTATGACAAGCTTAGTAATATTTACACTACATACAAATATAATATGAAAGCATTGTATACAGCAACAGTAATACTCCGTAATACTGACAACAAAAATCTGATTTTTTAAATTGAAATAAAATTCCAAATCAGAAGTTCATGACAAAATGTCAACAATCATTAACAAATTCAATCATTGGTCTGAAATATAAAACGTATACAATTGAAGCACCATTATATGATGAATCTTGTAAAAGTGAAAAAATGTGATGTCTTTTATAGATCACCTTTGAAATTAAGTCCTCATTTTATTGTTATCCCCAGTTTTTGAATTATCCTATGTAGGCCATTGTGTCCACTGACACATGCTACTGTCATATGTACAGCAAAAAGAAACGTGTAATTGGCCCATTTAACGATTAGATGTTGGGGTTACTTCAAGTTGGCACATTTTCAAGGCCTTTTGTTAAAATAATGTACTTATTCATGTTTTTATATATTCGCACACAATTCTTCTAGTGATTTGTGTATATAAACATTTGAGTGCACATATTAAATATGTTTTCAAAGACATTACAAGAGTATAGTCAGGCCCGTAGCCAGGGGGGGGGGGGGGGGCTTCGCAGGGTTCGGGCCCCCCCCTGGCGAAAAATTCTTTCAAAATCATGCTGTTTTTCACCATTATGTCCACTTAAGTGATTTTAGCCATATTTGGGCCAAAATTGTCAAATGTGAGCCCCCTCTGGAAATTTTTGTAAACTGAACCCCCCCTTGGCAAATCCTGGCTACGGGCCTGATAGTATAGAAACAGATTGAGACATTTCAGCAAGAACTAAGTCAGGATTATGCTCAGGTATAAAAATAATATTACTTTTTACAAAGTAAAATTCAAATCTACTTTACAATTGCACAATCGGATACAAATTCTTACAAAATGATGTAATTTTTATAAATGTTTCACAGAACTATGGTTTAAAGTTGATACATCAGTAACCATTTAAACTGATCTACAAATGGCTTGGATGTTTGTAAACCATAAAAACCTTCTTGAAATGAGAATTAATAAAAACATACATTCAATTCTGAGATCTCATATCTTGAGATCAAAAATTGAGTTTGGTCATTTTCAACAAGAATCAACCGATTCCTCTCTCAAGGTAAGTCCTTCACATTTGGAGTAACAATCCTAAATGACGAGTCCCCATGGTCGCTTAGCAACTGGATAGAACCATGACTGTCGTCCCCCTGTTGTATAGTAGGGTCCATTGCACAAACATGTCCTGGAGACAGGTGTACATGACAGGGTGACAGCCAAGTCCCACTGTCCACACTGTTCGGCCTTGACTTTTCTAAGTTCAGTTTTTTTGGCCTGTTTCGCCTAAATGTGCTAAATGTGAGGTCCCCGTCTGAGTGTGTTGGGTAAGCATTCATAACTGGGCTGGCACAGTTACGTTCTGTGGTCCGCTCCAGAATTTTTGGACTAGGGGTCCTTGGAAGGGACTTAGTGTCTCTATTGTCACCCAGTAATGTATTCTCTGAGCAGGTTGCTAGCACCGTTTGCTGTGAATCAGTTTCTGAGACAGATGAGAGAGTCGTCGCATCGCGGGGAGGTATATTCATTGTGGCCTGGACACCAAACCCAGGTATACAAGGCACTGATTGGCTCATCACATGCCTTGGTGGTTGATCTGTTGGCGATAATACATTGTCATAATCGAGGCCTTCATTAGAGACGTCACCCCAAGAGGCCTGTGTCACATCTATCCTAGAGACAGGGCTCTGAATGTTCGGTTGGCTCGAGAACTTCGAATACTGACTCTGGCTAGAGTATCCACTCTCAGATGCGAATGATTTCACTTGCGGGTTACTCTGACGTGACTTTTGCTCCATTTTCATCTGGAATAGCTTGGTTGTGACATCACTTGTTGTGCTGTCTCTGGAGAGACCCCCTTGCCCGTTTGAGCTGATGCTCCATCTATTTTGAGTGCTGCATTCCTCGACTATCTGACCACAAACCTCATGTCCCATAACGCTAAATGATTGACTCAGGAATCTCTGTACCCGGCCCTTATACATAGCAGCTGCAATATCCAGCACACACATGGTAGGCGATTTTTTACGCTCATTTATCCACCTGATGATGTCATGCGATAACCCGATTTTTTCAGCAAGGAGAGTCCAGTCCTTTCCCTCTGGGTGGGTGGGATCGAGCGTGACAGCGAGACGCTGCTGCATCACCAAAGGGAGCCCCGTGTCTTGCCTCGTAGCAGGTGACAGTTCAAGCTCATAGAACGCTGCCTCTGGGGTCTTTGGCTCAGTCAGCTGGTTGTGCTGAACTGGAACATGATTAACCTGAAGCAAGAACACAAATACATCTTAATAACAACATGTTTTGGTTGTTTGGCATGAAATAAAGTTCAATACATACTTGGGATAGCAACACAAAATACACATATGACTTTGAAGATGGGTTAAGTATCATGTTAAATTTCAGACATGCACCTTGCATGCTCAACATTTTTTTCTCCAGCATTTCTATTTTCCCATTTTCAGGAACATGAGTACAACAAAATACATCAAAACAAACAGAATACATATTGATATATTTACTTCATGATACTGCAATACATATAAAATGGCACATTTAGCGTTATTATCTGTACTACAGCATTACCCACCTCAAGTATCTTCTCAGAGACTTTAGCCATGGGTCTGAGGAGGCGTTTAGAGTTGGCCTCTGTGGTGCGTTTTTGAAACACCTCAACAGAGCAGTAGAAAGGGACTGAGCTACCCCCATACTGTGATGAACGAAACGTGCAGGACTCACTCTGGCTCTTCCAGACGTGCTCAAAGCTGATCTCCTGGAAGTACAAGAACATATACTATACATGTACATGGGAACTTCTCTTCCTTCCATTCTGTCATACACAGTTACATTAATGTATAGGGTATAGAAGTATCTTATCTTAAGAAAATATTATGTTTTCTTCATAACAATAACTTCAAACTTCAGTAACAATTCTGAAGGACACCAAATAGCATAAAACATATAAGGAATACCTGTAGAAGTAATTCTCTTATAGAAGTTCTATACTGATGACCACATTTGAGAAACAAAAGCAAAAATAAGATCTCAAAACTATGACCAAATTATTATCTCGTGTAGATTGCACTCTAATCTTTCTTGAGATTCGTGCTATATCAACCATGAATTTGAAGAGATTTGTACTTGTACTTGTAAATATGATCTCAAAAGTAGATTGATTTCTAACTCTAAGAGGTTGTGTGTATCAAAATGGGTTTGAATAGAAATGACGCAAACCTGTTCAGTTTCATCCATTTTCCAGCCTGGCCCTATGTCCTTGACCTTGATACATAAAGGCTGGTTGTTGTTTATGACATCAATACACCTAATGTCATCAAGTGGTAGATCATGTTGGGGAGTGCCGTCGTTGTAGATGCGCACCTTCAGGTCATACACAGGGTCGCCAGCATAGAGTTTGTCCCCGAACACACCAAGTTTCATCTGCTTGGTGGCTTTAGAGGAACCAGCTTCCGCAGAGATCTGGTAACCTGTATGAATAGAAGTTAAATAAAATAAACTGGGATATGTATATTTTTGGTGAAAGACTTCAACTCAGATTCAATCACATATTTATCTAGATAGTTGACCAACTTTTAAGCAAAAAGGCTGCCCAGATTAAAAGACCACATTTCTCCATTGAGTAATACAATGTCAGGTGAAAGTTGATTACAATCAATGAGCAAGCACCAAGATTTGAAGACCCATATAATAAACCTTATTCATTTAATGTATTAATAATTTGACATGCATGTATATATGTAATTGCTATTGTCACATACCTGTAAAATGATCTACCAACAGGACCCGCTGTTGGCCTAACACAAATGTCTGTGTGTCAACATCAGATGTTGCATCAATCCACTTCGACACTGAATTATGACTAGTATCAGTCCTCATCAATCTATACTGCCACAACTCGCTATCGATACAGTTCATGTCAACTTCAGGGTAGGTTATGATCACGTGAGAAAGGAACTTCTGCCCATGTTCTCCGCAGTATATCACAGGCCCCATTGGACTCATGCTGCCCTTCAGTGCAGGGAGATCCTCATTGTGGTAGGACACGTACATGAATACTTGGCGTTTCTCATTGAAGGGGATAGCACCAGGTGGGATGTACATGGTGATTTGGAGATGCGACAGTTCAAGGTAGCCTCCTTCGTGATTGAACAACCCTAATGAATGAAGATATAAGAGTTAAAGGTATTAGTTCAATACCTTATGATTAGATAATCCTGGAAAAAATAACATTTTAAGACATTTATTCATTTCGTTAGATTGGCATTTGCAAAGTTCTGTGAAAAATTCTGATACAATCCAATTTACAAATTGTATGGTTTCTGCAATTTCAGGTTCTCTGTTCAACTCCCTCTTCTCTCCTTCATGTGATTAGACACAGGGTCTGCTCATAGTCTCTTCATTACTAAATTTCCTTTAACATATTTCATAAATACACAGCCCCTCATATTACATAAACCAGTTGCCCTCTAAAAAGCTTTTCCACATATAATTGTTACATCATGATACAACCTACCTATAGTGAAATTGCTGTTGCTATAGTTTGTTGGCAGCATAGAATTTCTATGTGGCGTGTCATGAACCACAGCATGGAAGTTATCCATAAACTGGTCGATCATCTTTTGAGCGGTAGTTAGCTGAGGTTCAACAGATGGCTCTATAAGCATGGATGTGGATCGATCAGTATCTGATTGGTCATCGCCAAAATGAGGCACGAGTGTGTGAATTGGACTGTTTGGCTGTCGCATGAGAGATGGGACTGAACAAGATGCTGGCTCTACCTAAAAATAAAAATTAATATTGTTTACAACTTTTTCCATTTTATAAAATACATTATAATAATAGTGTTCAAAACTTACAGCTATTTCGTAGCCATTGACAATCATTTTTTTGTTCTTCACAATGGAATTGGAAAAGGTATTCACCACTTGAACAATGGGCCAATGGGAGCTGGGACTCATATACATAGATGGCGGTTCATTTATTTTCTCTTGTGGATTGTCTCACTATTTGTGTGAAAATTTTGTTAAATTAATTAAAATATCTAGAAACTACATAATTCAAATAAATATCTCATTTTCTCTTCAAAATAATCGGCATCTCCTAATGCTTTAAATTTCAATATCAAAATTTTGGATATTTCTAAAACTAGTTACCAATGTGTAATTGGACCAATTTAAAATGTGTTGTATTATAATCTTATTGCATTGAAAGTCTCTTTAACAAGTTTACAACAATGTAACAGGTCCCCGAAAATAACTACATGAATGTAAGAATAACATGTTTCTCACGAGGTATTGGCTTCATAGCTACTTTCTAATTACATCATCTTTGAAACATTTGATAGTCGTTTAACAATCCATTAAAATCGAAGATCAAGTAGGTTTTCAAATAACTTATCATGTCACTTGATATTCTGATATTATGAAATATCAATCCATAAACTCATGAGCTAGCTATAAAAGGCAACTAAAAAGTTGTTTTGAATTGTTAAACATATATGTGCGAGATAAAACATGGGATTCAGTATTCTTGAAATAGAAAGGAATGTAATATCTTATCAGAAATGGTTAAATTGATAATTAATAACTTGGCCTTGTTAACGATTATCTAGATAAAAAACAGCCCTTATAGAGAAACAGTGGGTGTATCGATCTTTGATGTTTGATCAGTATAAGGAGGTATTTCCTCAATTGCTTATGTAAACAGCTATAAAATAAACGCTGTATGCTGCTCTCGTACTAGCTATTCTGACTATAAACATGTTCCATTAGATACATACAATGTTATCATATAAGTGCATACTGTGCTGTGTATGATTTTAAAATACCACACACAGACAACTTCAAATTAACTACACGTACTTCAGTTTGAAAAAACATTCAACAAAATAATATAATTCAAAAGTTGTGCTAAGTGCAGCCAAGAATGGTGTATTTTGTGAATATTTTTTGAATGGAACACTATTAAATTCATTAATTTTCACGATTAGTCTTTGTCCAATCTTTTTTATTTCCATTCAAACCACAAATTTTTACACAACATGAGAATTTATGTTGAAATGTTCAAAACACATTTACATGGATGAAACTATTTTAACAAGTATTTCACTTTTATCGAGTGTCAAGCTATTCCAGATAGCATCTCATATATCAGAAACCTAAATCTGAAGTATATTCTTGTTTATGATAATGGATGGTTTCCTTTATACCCTTTATATATCAAAATGCCAGGAATTCTTTCAACATTTTCTGAAACCTCGGTACACGCTTAACCACAAGTAAATACGAATTCAGGTTAACAGTGATTTTTGTTTGTAGAATTTTTCAATTGATAAGAACACTGAAAATTTTAAGACCAAAGTTCATTTGAATATTTTATCACATTTGCTTTTGTTATGTTAGTATTTTGATGATATTTCTAAAAACATTTTGCAATAGATATGCTCGTCACGTCTTTATTGACGTATGTAAGGGGACCACAAATATGAATTTTTTCTTTGGCTTCAATACATGAAGTACAAAGAACTAGATCTTCATTGTTTTGGCATTTTTAAATATTGTTTGCACTTATTTAACATCACACAATCACATGACGAGATATGTAGAATATTATGAAGTAATTTAAGAGTACAAAGCACTACCCTTTCAAGCAGTTCGATTTTGGTTATTTTTATTAAACAGAGTAACATCTACACTCTTCGAGTCAGAGATAATCTTCTGATCTATTCATAACCAATCAGAATACAGTCGATCAAAATCCAGCTACCCAGTCAAGATAGCTGTCATCAAATTTTAGGCTTTTATACAGAAACACCCATAAGGACCATATCAGCTCCCTTTGGGGCCACTTAGATCGGATCATCAAAACTGTATATTTATTTCACCTATTCAGACTAATAACTAGGTCCTGATACTTAGCGGTAACATATGACAGTATTTATATATGAAACCCTCAGGCTCGTAGCCAGGATTTGCCAAGGGGGGGTTCAGTTTTCAAAAATTTCCAGGGGGGGTTCACATTTGACAATTTTGGCCCAAATATGGCTAAAATCACTTGAGAAGTGCTCAAAATGGTGAAAAACTGCATAATTTTGAAAGAATTTTTGGCCAGGGGGGGGGGGGGTTCGCCCGAACCCTGCGAACCCCCCCTGGCTACGGGCCTGAACGTACTAGACGGTACAGTATTGGTATACAAGACATAGTATTGGTATACCAGACATAGTATTGGTATATTTTATGCAAGTTGTGAATATTAAAAAAAACAAATCCGGTTGGATCTGCATGTCTTTTTACAACCTGGCTATGTTTCTTTCAAAAAACGTATTGGAGTGTAAGATTAGAAACCAAGTAGCAATAAAAAGTCTATTTATTTTTTATGGACCTGTTTAGTATCAACTGGGCTTGAAATTCAAGGAGGTTTTAGGTTAGATAAAAAGCAGGAAATTGTAATAAGAAATGTTATTTAGATAAATGGTGTGCTAATGTTGAATAACTTAGCATGACTTTAATATTAAAATGAAGTTGAACATATATGGTACGTGGTACTCCGACACAAAATACATTGTAGTTACTTTCAGTGAAATTGATCAAACGTGAATGTCTTTATCAAATGTTTGCAGAATATTTCTAATTCAAATATGATTACCCTTGATATTATTTTTATAACAAAATCATTTTGAAGGTCATACAATTTTAGCTGAATTTAATTGGCCAAACCAAATGTGTGGTCTTACTTGTCATCAATGCAATCACATACAATACATACAGAAAAACTTGTCTAATCTGAAAACCACTGGGACCATTCAAGAGTATTCAGAGTTGCAGTTGCTTACATAGTGAGTTTTTTTTATATTGGAGTGAATGGAAGATAACAAAATTAGGCCAAAGAAAAAGTTTTCATATTGAGAGGTTTTTGGATATCCAGATTTCCCTTTATATTTTTACCTGTAAAATTGTTAAATTTATTAAGATGGCTTTTGTGCGGAGAAGGCAATTCATTTACAACCTGGTGATATTGATTTTCGTGTATTAATTTTTTGTATTTTCTATTGTTAACAGTGGTTAATAAGCCTACAAGGTGGGCTGGGTAAAATTGTAATTAATTTTTTATATTTTATAATGAAATTGTAAGACTGACCACTATAAATAAATAAATAAACTAAACTAAACTATATTTGTTCATATTTGTCCATATTTCTTGGAAATGAATAAACTTGTGTCCTACTTTTAATAGGAGATCAATCAGACTTACATGAATATTCACAGGTTTGTAAATCTCGTATCTGTTCTTCCTCCGCTGTAGCTTAATAGCCAGTGGTAGGCATACAAGTGTTACGAGAATGAACATGGACAACAGAGCGGCCATTCCAAAGATTATGGAGTACCTCATTTGTCTGTAATAAAAGAATAAGAAATTTACAAATACAAACTACTAAGATTCCCTGCAGGAGACAATGGGATGTGTGTACATAGTAGATATATAGTAGATGGCTTCCTGAAAATGGCGAAATATTTTAAGGCAGGATAATTATGTAAAACAATCATCATATTGTATGTCCTTTACATCTTAAATGGCTAAGATATCAAATAAGATCATTAAAACTTCACACATATATGTATATTCATTTCTTATAAAAAGGACCAACTATTAGTGAGGCATCAAGGTATAGGTGATGTGATGTCAAGCCACAGCTAATATGATGTCAAGAGCTGGTGTGATGTCAAGCTACAGTTGATACTTACATTTGACATATGTTGACACCACAGTTATTCTCTATGGGAGAATATAACTTGGGACAGGCATCAACACACTCATCGTTGAACACAACTCTGTCACAGTTCACAAAATGACACCCATTAAGGTTCCTCTCAGGCTTTAGGGCATTTAGAGGAGTCAATGGGTTGATATCAGCCGTTGGTCCAACTCCCTGATATGTATATACATCTTTTACTTTTGGCATTGGAGTCCATGGCCGGGGAGTCTGAAATTATGAGAGATTGATTTATAAAAGAAACAGTTTCAACGTTATTTCAAAAAACTTTTTGAGCATTTCTTGAAGAATTAAAAAGTACACAAATATAATAAAATAATGTCAATCACCCTTAGGCACGACAGTCAAATATGCAAAACAGACGCAAGAAAAAAACTTGGATTTCCAAGATGGTTGTTATGACACTGAAATTACTGCAACTGAAACCTTATGAATCAAGATGTTGATAGACTGATGTGTCAGGAGCTATGAATCAAAAATGAGAACATAAAATAGATTAAAAGTCCATATATATGTGCTAAAACAACAGGTGATGGGAATTGCTGACTAGAGATTACTAGAAGATTTATATCTCGCATACACTGAGTCAGCACCAGACAGCACAGTTTATTTACTTTTTTTCTCTCATAATAGAAACATGATTGATGAAGGTCAGGGATCAACACATTTAAAATAAGTGCCAGCTAATATATCATGGGTTAATAAAATATATGTCTGGTTTGGAATTAATCTCTAGAACTGAAAAAAAAAAAAAAACATAAAAATAATCAACAAAATAGATTGCAATTAACAGGATATTCATTAATATTCCTACGATTTCACTACAATGCAGCAATTACGATGACAATTGGTTTTGGGTTGTACGAAAATAGTTTGAAAGATTCCCAAATTGCTGGCACATTTCACATTGGGAGTTGAGCATATATCTTGTAGTCTGACACTCTCTACATGTTACACCTTCTAATCTTTCACCAGTTGGCCAACATTTGTTTACATTACCCTTAACTTAGTTTTTCTCAGTCTGAATATATATATTCAGAAGATTGGCCCAGATTCTGTATAGTAGGTTCGCATTAACATAAAATATTTCAATCGATTTTGGTGAATCATAAAACTTATGCTATAAGACCTAATGGTGTTTTTATCATACAGTTTTTTAAAGAATATATTCTTTTGTTGTAAATATTGTTTATTTGCTCGGTGAAAAATTCCAAGATATTTGTAAATCTGATTCAGATTTATATTTCTTCAATTGTCCTACTAGTGAGAATTTCTCCTGAACAAGAAGACTTTTGACAGTTTTCTCAAAACATGATCCAGAAGTATAATAATAACAATGCAACATAAACAGAATCTGCGCTACTAAACAGTTACATTTCAAAACAAAACATTCTTATAGTACTTACGGTTCTGTTTCTTGCGCCCATGTTGATAAAGTATAATCCTTCTGATAATTTCCCGAATTACTTTTAAACTTTGGTCCAAGTCTCCATATTTGGTAGAAATCAATTTATTCGGCAATCAGAATTTTCTGAAATGAAAGACAAAAACAATTAAATCAATACGTGTGTACTAAGTAACCCGTGTATCATCTCAATTGACGATTATAGCTGCAGGCTATGAAAGTGTACAGGACAAATATTTGGCAATAAACAGATAAAAGTATTTTAAGTGCATCTTCATGTCTTAGTTTATCAGAAATGGTTTTACTTCAAGCTTCATCTACTATGAAGAATGAGGCAATAGTTTTGAAGTTTCTAACCCTATCATATTCTCAGACCTAGATTCCAAGACTTTATACAGGATGTAATACTTTGATAGAGTGATTGATGCACGATATTGATATCAAAATAGATGCAAGATTTTGGTTTCAAGATTAATGCAAGACTAAGAAGCACAAACTGAATGAAGATGAGTATCATGGCATCACAGAACCAAATGATCCAAAAAAGAAAAGTGTTGATTCGCATAATGAACACTTTGACCACTTAGACAGTAAATGTTAAGGAAGTAAAAAACACAACTCTTTGTTGAATTAGTTCATTAATCAACACTTACTGAGGGTGCTACAAAGAAAGAACATGCTATATGCACAATAAGGAGAGATCAGTAGCTTCAAATGGTTTCAAGAGGTTAAGCCATTTGAAGATTGTGTCTAAACTGAGCCAAGTTACATTTGATCGAGCTTGTGAGAATTTTAAGTGTTTCAACAAAAATACTTGATTCACAAGTTCACAAACATCTTAATTCTTTCAAGAGCTATATATGTAAGCACACATGAAAGGTGACGATGATATTCTCCAGTGTAAACCCGGCTTAACTAATGATCAAAACACGACTATCATAAACCCAATCTGATGCACAATTTCCGAATTTCAAACAAATATGGAAATATATGAACTTAGAATTGCTCCAGTTTGAGCCATTTTTTGTGACTGTGCACCAGCTTGTGTATAGAAGCTACATCTGAGGGCATGACATGGAACCTGGTTGATGTTAGATTTCATTGGTTTACTACCACACGATAAATCATGATGACGTCTCTACTTGACTTCTCTACTCTCTTTCACCATGCTATCTCTAATTCCCTAATCCTGACTGTGGTTTATATTCCTGTGAAGTTTTGCTCCTCTGTAATCTAAATGTAATATCCACAGAAACACAGATACACATGCAATATGCCACATGAAGATGTATCTGTATATTGTGTATTGGTCATCACAACACAAAGTACAAATTGATATAGAATCTACCAAACAGTGCGAAAGAGTTCTCACAAATACTTTATTATTCGACTAATGTGTTTTTATTATTTCTGACAATAGATCCAGGATGTTATATTGAGTGAGGAAGTAATTCAGGCGATATGATTTCATTAATATTAAAATGTACAATTCCACAGAGTATATAATCGACTTGTTCTTGGATTTCATAAAATATGCCTGACAAGAATGGCTGTTAGCCAAAAGTATCTTATAACAGCAAATAATGGTTGTATCTCTCTAATTCTGTCATTTAATATTTACTATATTTAGTCCAAGGATTATAACCTGGCAGTGTGTTTCTAGTTCTTTCCCTTATTAGGAAATTTACTTATACAAACTACACATAACACTAAAACAGGGTAAACATAAATACTGCAAGGCCGAGGATAGATTGGGTCTTATTGAGTTTTTCACATTGAACCATTAACATTGGAGTCAATGGGACATGGAAATGAAAGTAAAGTTCATATTTTGAGATGTTCACATAGACTGGGTTAACTGTAGAAAACTTCACTAACATCTCCCATAGTTATTGGAACCACCAGGAAAAATACATCAGACACAAGCCTACCTCTCACATAACAGAAAATATAGGTTTAAATATAGTGTAACTGCAATGAATATTGTTTGAATCACATGGGCCTTGTGTCTGCCCAGGTGTTCTAACCACAAACACATGCAGTATGTTTTAACACATAGCCTCCTAGACAACTTTCTTACTACATGTATATAGAACTTATATGTTTCACTATATATTTAGAGTCAACTTGATATTTTCATATTACCAATGTTCACTTTCAGAGTTTCATGTATCATGCAGATGAACGACTGATACACCCACTATCTCGGTTATTTGAGGTTAAAATCAAGAGGTTGCCTTCTAAAATTATGACATGTATTTTCCATTAAACTATTTTTGGAGTTTGAATGAGATAAAAACTAATAATGAATAATAATGATTGTAGCCATAATGATTAAGACATCCAGCGTGAATCAGAAATCATGGCTGTCAAACAATAATATATATGCCAGTATTAGCTGAGGTGATTTCTTTGTTTCAGACATATCTACAAGGTGTTTTCCACTTAGACCTTGAGCTTTTTAACAAAATACACACATATGGTATAACTTGTTCGCTATGGCATTGGTAGTAACTAAAATTCAATGACATGTTTTTATGCATAAATTATGAAGAAAAGGGGAAAAGTTTTCATATTAACAAGACTTTTATTTTAAGATAGCCATTAACGTTAAAGATAGATTGTTAATAAAATCTGTCATGAAACGAAAATAAATAAACAATATGTATATTAAAGAGATGTTCATCTCAAAATTTGCTGATAAAGGAAATGTGTTAATAACTTGTTTATCACTAGTAAATACTACATAAAACCTGTGATTAGTGAACATTTTTTGCCAAGAAAAAAACGTTCAGTGTTGGTAGGTGTTCCCTACAGAGAGGGTAATTTATACAGAGGTATGTGCAAACTGCAAAGGGGTGTCTACTAGAGAGAGGTGTTCACTAGAGAGAGGTGCTCACTAAGACAGGTTTTCTGTATTAGACCATATATTTTACATATTCAATATATTTTCTAGATATGTTCAAAATTCAACTGTAAATGTTGGCAAGTTTTGACTTTTATCACAATTTCTCAGAATCACCATTGGTTTGAATATGATTAGACACATACTGTTTTCTTAACTTACTTTTTGGTAAGTAACCCAGACTTATCTGCTATGTTACATCAACATTAAGGTAGAGTTGCACTACATGTGTGCTACAGATGCGCTAAATGGTAAGTGAGAGCCAGATGACTCAACACACAGTCACATACATGTATATTAAGTATATGTATACCATCTAAAGGATTTCTCATGCTTGATCTTAACAGTGAAACTACATGTGTTCCAATATTTTCCTGAGAGAATGTGATCATGTGTTGATTTAAGTTATAAAAAGTTAACAAATCCTCATATTGGTATAATGAACAAATCCTCAAAAACACTTAAAAGGAAAAATAAAAGGTAAAATCATAGATTAATAAATGTCATTTGCCAGCATTGCTTCATCATTACTCAGAAAGCTGGAGTCATTATACCTGTTATACCTGTCTATTATAACAAATGATTGTTTCCATTGTCCCTTGGTAATAGCTTCATCATGCTTTTTACTTCATGAATCACTTTCCATAAAATGTTGTTTTATGAAGTGCTAAAATTCACATGAAATCATTTATTCAGTCTTTAATCAAATTAGAATGAGAACGGTAATTTCAGAATTTTAAAGTATAATAAACATCTCATCTCTCTTTGGAGAATGCTAAAGCGAAAAATGTTTGTCTACTATAATATCCCATTGACTCACATGTTAAATTGTTAATCTATTAAAATGAACATCTCTACTTTCTACTTTCAAAGTATAGAATGTACTTAAATCGACCCTCAGTAATATTCACTAGGCAGCTTTTTCTGAACTTTCTAGTATCTTTCTGATTAATATAACTTCAATTCTGAAAATATTTACTTGCCATTGTTTGAAACTTTAGATATCTGATATCTGTGAATTATACAATGAACAAAGTATTCTATACAGAAATCTGCCACTAACAGAGGCATGTAACCCGCTAGCCCATAAGTACCTACTTTACTTCTTTTCTTATCATTTAACCTCCTTTACAAAAGTCAAATTATGCGATCAGGTTGCTACAATCCCAAATCTTGTTCTTGTGTTCCATGTTAGATAAGATAAAGGGGTCCTTTAAAACACATTATTTTTTGGCACCTGTCTGACCTCGTTAGTTTTTTTTATAAAAAACACAGGTTTGAACATAAAGTTCAGGGAAAAGTTAAACCTTGAGACTGGGATCTAGACTAATTTGTCAAGTTCAGAAGAATTCATGAAGAAAAACGGCTTTGAGTAATTTTCATGTTTCTATTTTTACTCTCTTAGTTACAGACCAACTACATGTAGATTGTTCTGAGAAAAGTTTTTCTGAAGTGAACTCCTACTTACAGTGGACACTCTTGGTTGCTCAAAAATTATTTACTTTATTCAGGTTTTCGCTGCTCTAAAAGTGTTCACTTCATATAAGTTTTACAATGCAAGTATGAATAAAACTGGTTTTGATAGATACGTCATGTAGTGCTCCCACGTAAGGTCCCTTATAGTCAGACAGTTGTAGTTGCGACACACAATATTTGAAAATGTAAGTTCTATCCCATACTAACATTGAATAGAATAATTTATTCATAAGAGCATGTTGACTGAAATTCAATTCATATTTTTCAAAAGGAGTGGCATTTTTTCAAAGTGATAACATGACATTATATAGAGGTCTTTATTTATCTTCAAAAATGTTTGAAGTTCAATTTGACTTATTTACACGCACAACACAAACCCCAAAATTATTTTGTCTTCAAATTGTTTATGCAGTAAACGAGAATGTGGGTAAAAATATTTAAACCCTTAATAACTCAAAATAAAATTTAAGTGTTAGAACATAACTTTATGGCTTTGTGACCACGAACACCAAACCTAAGAGGCCAACACACTTACAAACCAACCTATCCTGCTTGTGGCTTTCTACCAAAAACAATTTTTCAGGACAAAAACAACTTAATCTCCAATCAAATCCCAGTAGGTCACTCAAGGAAAATCCTCCCTGATAACATAATTGGCCTAGATACCTCTAATTTTTCATTAAGTACGAAAAACATATTCATATTTAATTAAATATCCCGACATGTTATTATTCAGAGAAAGTT